GAATTGGGTTGATCCCGGCCAGGAGTGTGCAGCCCATAGGGGACACCACCCTCCAGCAGGTCGTATGGCCTCCAGCCTGCGGAGCCTGTCTCTCCCCACTGAGGCGCCAACTGCGGAGGCAGTAGGGAGGACTGCTCCTTCCCTCCTTCCCTCTCTTCCTCCCTCCCTCCCTCTCCTTCCTTCCCTGCTACAAAGTCAAGCCTCCCCCCATACCCACCCTAGGTAATGGCGGCTCGCTCAGCCTGCCAAAGCCCAGCTCGTGTCCCCGCCAGGGCATCCCTGGGCAGCAGGGTGAGAGCATGTGTGCACTCTGATAGCACCAACAGGAAGCCAGAGGGACCGGTCCCTGCTGCTAACCAGCACGTGAGTGTGTGTGAGAGTTTGTGTGTGTGTGTGTGTGTATGTGTGTGTGTGTGCGCGCAGGAACCCACCAATCAGGAGGGCCATCTAGGCTCCATGACCCATGATCTCAGGTTTTAAGTGTCTAGGGTCACCTAATAGGAGGGTGCGTGGGCCTGAGCTTTTTGTGCCTTGGAAGGGCTGCATTGGCAAGCCCTGTGTAGGTCTGGAGTCATGCTGGGTCCACAAGGGGCCAGGAAAAAGTTCTTCCCAGCTCGCAGGGTTCTCTCCCAGCCATCATTCTGATTTCTGTGTGGATCTGGGGATCCCCTCACATCTGGGCACAGAAAGGCACCAAGGGCTCCAGGAGGGAGGAGGACACCAGCGTTGGGGAAGGACCTGCTGCGGGAATGTAGCAGAGGAGACCAGAAGAGGGAGGTGTGGAAATACCAAGCCCAGGCCACCCGCAACGAATGCTCGGCTGGGCTGCGGATGGGCGTCCACCCAGGAGTGAGCAGGCTGCAGGCGAGGTGAGAGACGGCCTCACTGCACCCCAGGCCTAACGTGCCTCCCAGCACTGGGGAACCTCGGGGAAACCCCTTCACCTCTCTCTGCCTCGATGTTGTCAGCTGCTCCGTGACGTGGGAACACACTGCCCTCCCAGGGTGCCACATGTGGGACTGCCGAGAGGGCCCAATGCAATCCTAATGCAAGGCGTGCAGCCTCCTGCAGGTGAGGGCCACCTGGGCCCTGCAGGTGGGGCAGGCGAGCCACCTCAACATGTGCAAGCTGTAGGAAAGAACAGACATTCCACAGAGACCAGTCTTTCTTCACTCTTTACTGTGTAAAAATAAACTCAACAATTCATGTAGTTTCAGCAAGAAAATGAAAAAAAAGAAAAGAAAGCAAGAGTATCAGTAGAAATAGTGCATTTCCAGAACTGCCGATGGAGGTGGCGGGTTCCATGGTTTTGACCCACTTGATACCCAAAGGGCTGCAGATCATATGAAAAATGCCCAGGTTTGGTTAGCAAAGAATGAAAAAGTCAGATCCATCGATTCTCTTTCATATTATACAGTATGTACAAGGTACCAACATCAACCTTAGGGGGTTGCATTTTTTGGCAAATAAGACAAAATTGGGACTCTAAGTACTGGGCTTTTTTTTCTCCTCAATAACTTGTTCCCTCTCAACAAATTGCACTTAAGTCCACTGCGCACGAAAGCAAGACGTTCCCTATCATTAGTTGAAAAATTTACACGCTGCGTTTGAAGAGATGAAACCACTCAAGCCACTATTTTTTTTTTGGGGGGGGGTTTGCCATAGACTACAAAAGATTCAGTCCTCTTAATTTCAACAATATGGAGCCCTAACTCCTTCAATCAGAGTTGGAACTGATACTCAATGCTCAACTCGTTCCATTTAACTTTGGTCAGCTCCTAGACAAAGAGTCCACCATAGGTTGCCAATGTTACATCCTGGTCCGCAACATGCCTTTGAGAACAGGTGGCCCCTCCTTGGAGCGCATTGGAATGATTCTGTGAACCTCATACCAGTCTTGCCCCTCCCCCTCACTGCCCACAAGACACCCCCTTGGTCTCAGGTCCCAGGGCTAGTGATTGCTGCAGTCTTAGAAAATAAACCGGGAGTCTACAAAAGGAAAAGAAAGCATACAAAATGTATCTCTTTCTTCCAAAATACATGCTTTCAGTCCTATGTTTTGGTGGGGCCTGAAAGTATTTTCAAGGGAGATATAGGTTGAGTTAATTGATAGGCTTGTCCTTTTCTTTCATAAAAATACTCTTGTTTGGTAATAAACTTTTTCTTCTACAGTAAGAGAAATAATACTGTGTTATCAAAAGCAAGAAGGCTTAAGATTCAAGTGGGATCTAAGCTCCCAAGGGCCCGGAGCCTCTGTTGGCGGCTCTCCAAACTCGGACGCCCAGGGGCTGTCGGACACCAGCTAGGCAAAAACAAACACTGCCTCAACAGTGCTTTTTTATCTTCTTCTTTTATAAAATGGCGTTACCTGAGAGAGGCGTGCAGTGTTCAGTGCAAGAGGGAACATCAACCAGATTAAGGACGTGGAAACTCTGTGGATTAGATTTGCGGCTGTGTTTTATCCTTTCTCAGGGCCAGCCAAGTGCCAACACAGTGACGGGGCTGAGGGCTTGGCACAGACTCCAGCTAGGAGCGGGGAAGGGGCTAAATGTCAGCTTCTGTCCCGGGCACCATGGGTGCACCAGGGGAGGAGCGAGGAAGGCAACAGGGCCGGGAGGCTGAAGGACAGAGGCGTAAGCGCTGGGGTTGGCTCTGCCCTTCTCTGTTAGGGCAGAGGATGGCTTGTGGTCCTGAAGGGCAGCCCCCACCACGCCCCGCTGGGGCAGGAGGAGGTCTGCGGTCCGGTAGACAGGCCAGTGCCAGGGCTGGTGGGAGGTGCCAAAGGGAGAGCACCTATCCTTGCCTACCAACAGCTCCAAGATGGCGGGAGTGAGTGAGGGGTGGGACCCTTCTGGTCTAGGGGGTGACTCCAAGCTCTCGCTCTCTCCCAACTGCAGGTAGTATTCGGGCTTGTTCTCAACCTACGCGTTAAAAACTGGGCATGTTTGGGGCGCGAGGAGGGGGAGAGAGGAAGTGATCTACCTCTCGACCTGCTCTGTCGCCCTTGGCTTAATTACCCAGCCATTGTCGATAGCTACACGGGTGGTCACACAACACGGATGGCACTCGGCACGCAACACAGATCTGTGGAAGTCCATGCAGACAAGGGGACACACGTCGGACCGGAGGAGCAAGGAATACGCCACCCCGAGAAACATGCAAACAGAGAAGACCCCTGCAGATCCAAGGAGGCCACGGCCCGGCGGGCAAAGCACAATTATCTAAGAAGAAGCCGCTGTTTAACAACGTGCGGCCGTGCCTGCTCTGGCCACTCGGAGGGAGAGTGACGCATCGCAGAACGGCGACTGGGTACCGTGCAGACACCACGAGACACGGACACAGACACACACAGATGCACTGGGTTTCCAAGACAAAATGGACCTGTGTTTAGGGAGACAGGTGCCCCCGCAAAGAACAGAAGACGGGAACACCTCCATCTCCAGAGAAATGTCTGCAGCTGCAAATGAGCCAGGCAGCATAGCAGAATTTCTAGAAAGACTTGCCAGCCGTTTGCTAATGAGGCTCCTGGTGGCAGAGTCCAGGGTGCCCACAGGGCGTGCGACTCCTGGGTGATGGAGCAAAGCCAGGAGCTCGCACTGCCCTGGGCATGATCCTTCTGAGGGCTGTCCTCGCCTCTCAACACACACGTGCATAAAAATGCACACACACACTGTTGTCTCTTCCTCAGAAAAACTAGAAGGACGTGTGTACGGCTGCTTTTCATGGCGGGGGAGATGAACTAGAGGTTCTGGACACTGGCCAGGCCCCAGCGTCACCAGCCAGCGAGGGGCGGGAGCCCTATGAGATGGAGGAGTGGGTACAGGACCTGGCCCTGGCCGTGCCCAGCCCCTAGGGGAGGTCCCAGCGCCTGCCCCCTGGGAGCACGTACAGAATCAGCTCACTTGGGCTCGATGTGCTGGTAGGAATATGGCTGTCAGAATTACTGTGGGGAGAATCTTCCATCGGCTGGCTGGGTTTATGTCCCAGTGACTCTACGTGGCTGGGTTTCAATCAGAACGTGGGTCTCCTTATCTGAAAGGTCCCCTCTGGAGCTGACCCACTGAAGTCTCTGGCCTCCACTGCCAGCGGCCGAGGGGAAGGGGCCCTGGGGCCATGGTTGCCTGGGGCTGCGGTGGGGACGCACCTCTCTCAGGGCATCTGGGCTGAGGCGGGCCAGCACAGTGGCTAAAAGGGAGGACGGATTCCGCCTTGCAGGGTGAGGAGGAGGAGGGCTGAGGGAGTGGGGCACAGTTTGGAGCCGGTGGGGGGTGGGGGTGCGGCGTGCAGCAGCCCCCAGCCCCTGGGCTGCCCTTGGATCCTGAGGCCAGCGCCACCCCTGCGCCCCTCAGCAGGCTCGTCTGTCCGCCTCCCACCCTCAGAATTCACTTCTAATGCAAAGTGAAAACTCTCCTCGGGGAGGCCCACCCTTAACAGACAACTAAAAGACATTTATTCTATCAGTATAGAGATCTGCCGTCCTCAGAAAGGTCTGCAAACAGACACATGTGTGCTCAGGGAGCTGCACCAGCCCCGAGGCAGGCAGGCAGCTGACGAAGCCGGCAAATACAGACATTCACCGCGTGGTGCAATCTCCCAAAGTCACAGAAAGAAGGAAAGAAAACACCTCGTTCTGGAAGAGAAAGCCTCCTCCCCTGCCAGACGCACACAAGTGCGCGCACACACACAACACACCCTCTCACCTACTTCCGCCTTCCTGTAACTGCCAACGTCACCTGCTTCAGCCAGGAACGGGGGATGCCCATAACCCACTCTGGGGGTCCTAGAGAGAGATGGGCTTCCCTCAGGGTCAGACGCCAGCTGGGACTGCTCCGTGTGAGTGAGGAGGGCAAGCCAGGCATGTGTGTGTGTACATGTGTGTGTGTGCGTGTGCAGGGGCGATGGGGGGCGGGAGGAGAGATGATGCATCATGGCGGCACAAGCAGGGGAGGCGGGCATGGGGCTGGGGGCCCGAGGGGGGCCTCAGCCCTGGCCCAGAGTCCTCAGTTGATCTGACGACAGGCTTCGAATGTCCACTTAGTGGCTCCGCCAAAGATCTCAATGTGGGACTCGGCCCAGGTGATGACGTTGCCTGAAAGGGCCTTAGCGCTGCAGGTGGCCAGGTTGTACACCTCCCCCGGGGTCAGCTTTCGGTCCCAGATGTTGAAATGGGCCAGCTCGCCCACGAACGCTTGGGTGGCATCAAACCCGCCACCCAGAGTGTCCTTTGGAGAAAAGCAGAGGATAGAGGGGTGGGTGGGGTGATTGGGGCTCTGCAGGTGGGGGCGCTCCTCTCAGGGGCACCTGGGCTGAAGCAGGTCGTGCCTAGGGAGCAAGTCTGGGGGTCTCTGTCTCCATTCAGAGGCTCTCAGGTCCACCCTGGAGACCATTTTGTCCCCATCTCGGTGTTTGGTTTCTCCCTTCCCCAGGGGAAGGAGAAATGTCTGGTCCCTCTGCCCTGGATGTGGGTCTTCTCCCTGTCCTCTCCAGTGCCCATCCCCCAGCCACAGAGTGAGGGGTTGGCTGAGGCCGTGACACCCCCAGGGAGTAGGCTCCGGGGCCCTCCTGGGCCGTCCTCTCCACCCTGCTCTCGCCAAAGGACTCAGAAGGTCATCTTCTGCCAGATCTAGCCACCCAGGGGGACGGCCTGGGACCGCCAGCCTCTTCATTTCTCTCTAGCATGCTCTAGGAGGGAAAAGCCACTCCAGAGAGGAGAAATTGTCCATCTCTAGAAGCAGAACTGGGCTGCTGCAGATTCCAGGGGCACTGAGGCCAAAGACTGCCCTGCGGGCGAGCGAGCCCACCCGAAAAGAGCAGGCATTCTGCCCCCGCTGCTGCCTGCTGACCTGCCGACCGTGCTTCTCTGCTACTTCACAGGGTGACCCTTCCCATCTCCAGCTCCCTCTCTTCCCCTCCTGACACCCTCTGCAGCCCCGGCCAGTACCTGCTCCTGGCCCAGCACCAGCACACCCTGAGGCTTGATGGGGTGGTACGGCGCCAGGTTCTCGCCACTGCCACCCTGGGTGCCGTCCTGGTAGGCTTCCCAGACCCCATCCCGGGTGGTCCAGGTGACACAGATGTGGTGCCACTTGCCATCATTGATCACAAAGGGCAGTTTGGCCACCTGAGAAGGGGACACACATGTATGGGCGTGGGGGCGCATTACAATGATCACCAATGGGTACTACTCCAATTCTTCTTCTTCCTGCTGATGGTTTTAAAATCATTATCCAGAACCATTATCGAATGCTTGCAGCCCTAGTCTCTCCCGACTTCACACCCGCTGATGGAGCACGTAGCCACTCAGGAAATGAAGTGCTTTGCCCGGGGGACCGCAAGATTGATCCAGGAACATAGTCCTCCTGCTTGCCTCCTCCCTCTTTGCTCTCCAGCTGCTGGCCAACCAGGTCCCTCAGGAAGAAGGACAGGTGAGCCCCATGCTGCTATCTTAGGGGTCTCTTCCCTGGGGCCCTCCTCTCGTTCCCAGCACCCCATTTCTAACTGTGAGACCCTCTGGGTCTACCACCACCCAGCCTCTGCAGACAATCTGAGAGGTGCCACAGAGGAGATGGCACGTGCCTTCTGTGGCTCTGTCAGCTCCTGGCCTGGCCTCTCACTCACCCCCAGCACCGCAGGAGGCCAGCACGGGGCCTAGCGGAAAAGCTTACACCCCTCTGCACTGAGGGAAATGGGCCCAGAAAGGGAACAGGGCCTGGCATCCAACCCAGCCTGGGTGTTGGCGGTATGCAGAGGTGGCGGTTTGCAGGCTGGCAGCTAATCTCCAGCTCACAGATGAGGAATCGCTGGAGGGAAGGGGCTTCCCTGTGCTGCTATCCCAGGGGGTCAGGCGGAGCTGGCCTCCTCCCAAAGGCGGGGGCGGCGCAGGACGCTTTGAACTAAGGATGAATCTCTGAGGGTCTCACCGCCCTGGAACATTTTGGTCCTCGTTCTAGGGCAGCTGGTGGAGGAGGAGTTGGGACCCATCTGTGGGATGGACCAGGAGCCCTTGCCACCCTCCCCCACACCCGCTGCCTCAGTCTGCACCAGCAACACTCTATCCTGGGAGGCTCTGTCTGGAAGGTTCTAACAGCCCTTCTACACACCTCCTGGTGTCCCCCTCCCTCTGTCCTACCTGGTCAACCGCTGACCTCTCCACCCCACACCCACACCACTGGGCCCGGTGTCCCCCTGCTCCGTCAAGCCCAGATGGAGGGGGCTCTACCTTGTCGTTGATGAGGATCTCCATGGGGTTGTTGCCCCACTCAATGAGCACCAGCTCGTTGGCCTGGCCAGGCACGGCATAGGAGAAGGGGGTGCCCACGCCGGGCGCCGCGCTCGACTTGAGCCACATGCACACAGTGAAGGCGTACATCTCGGGCAGGCTCTTCTTCACCTTGGCATACATGTAGTTGGTCCGCAGGGGGAACGTAAGCTGGAACTTATCCCCAGGCCGACTGTCCTTCTGACCTGTGGGGCGGGGGGGAGCGATCCCGACATCTGCCCCTTGCCCCAGTATTTGTTGTTGATGTCTAATGCAAGCTCAGTGCCCGAGCTCCTAGCGCAGACCAGGCCACCTCCGGTCTCCATTTGATACATGCCCAGAGGGCAACTTGGAGAGATCAAAACCTTGACCCCAGGGCTCAGCAGGGAGAAAGTCGAGTGGAGGCCTCTGGACGCTCTTCTGCCCATCTCTCTTCTGACACAGCCTGGGGAGACTGACGCTTCGGTGCCTGAGGGGCTGTCTGCACCTGGGGGTCTGCCTGCGCCTGGGGAGCTGTCTGCACCTGAGGCCTGCCTGTGCCTGGGGGGCTGTCTGTGCCTGGGGGCTGTCTGTGTGGGGTGGGGGGTGTCTGCACTTGGGGGCTGTCTGTGCCTGGAGGGCTGTCTGTGCCTGGAGAGCTGTCTGCAGCTGGGGGCTGTCTGCGCCTGGGGGGCTGTCTGTACCTGGGGGACTGTCTGCTCCTGGGGGGCTGTCTGCACCTGGGGGCTGTCGGCACCTGGGGGGCTGTCTGCACATGGGCTGGGCCACAGCAGCGAGGGATGGAGGCGCTATCAGCACATTAAAGCGTGGCCTCAGAGAAGGAGGCCACATAGATCAAGGCTAGCTCCCCTCAGAGCAGCCCCTTTGGGCCCGACCTGATTCCACGATGCTGATGTGCTCAGAACCCTCCCTTCTGGACCCTTCTCTGGGATCCCCACCCCCAAGCCACTGGAGCTGACAGTTGACTATGAGTGGCTGTCACTTTCCCCTCTAGAACAGGACATACTGGTCTCTCATCTGAGCTGGCACCTGGCCCTGAGCATTGGGGCTGTTTCCAGGATCCAACCCACCTCCCAGGGGAGAGCCACCAGCCTCTGGGGTGGTTTGGCCCCCTAGGGGCCACGTCACACATTCTAGCCTTTCTGTGTGTTTCCTGAAAAACCAGACCCAGGGCCTCACAGCCTTCCCTTTATAGGAAACCATCAGCTGGGAAGAGCAGCCTGCTGGCACGTGCCTCCAGTGACCCGCCCCCCCCATCGCACGCACACTGAGGCTGTGGCCCTGAGCACCGTTTGACAAAGTCTAAGGAAAACGCTGCAGCCCAGCAGCGGGCTCGGCACCAGGCAGCCTCCGAGAAGGGCACCCAGAGCCCAGGGACCGATGCCTCGCTCGGCTCGTGGCTGTGCTCCTTGGGCCGGTCTGGGAACGCAGCGCCGGCTGCCCGGCCAACAAATTATTTCTAGGAGGCACCCCGCGGGGTCAGCGCACACTCCACCCCTCTCCTAGCTTCTCCCCTCGAAAGGGGGGGACAAAGCAGGGTTGGTCCCCTCCCCCACCGGCTCCCCCGCGGTGCCCCGCCCGCAGGGGCGGATGCAACCCCCGACCAGTGCGGAGTGTTTTTCCTTTTCTCGCAGCTTTCCTCCCTCCCTCCTCTCGTGCCCCTCCTTCTCCAAGCTGTTGTTCAGTTACATAACGCGCCTTAAGATGGCACTGTGGAAATCCGGCGGGCACAGTTTGCGGTCTGAGCAGGGTCAAGTGGCCCTGCTCCGCGCCGGGCGCCACCCCCCCCCCAACCTTTTACAACCTTTTTTGATTTCTGCGACTTCAAGGCACAAGCGCCGGAGCTAGTCGGTGCGCCCGGGGCGCGCCTGGGCGGCCCAGAGTTAGCGACCCGGGAACTGCGGGGGCGCACGAGATGCACGGGCTTGGGTCACTCAAAAGAGAAAACTGCGGGGCTGGGATTCAGGGCGGAGGGGGGCCCAGAGATCCCGAGACAAACCCGCCTGGGATGGGGAGGACCTAGCCCGCACCTGGCTCTCTGCGAGGAGGTGGGGACCAGCTAGAACCAGGCTTTCTGAGTCAGGGAGGGTTTCGGGCCGGCGACAGCTACTGCGCAAAGTTATTGAGGATTAAACAAATCAGACTTGAAAAATCCAGCGAGTGTTTGAGTGCGTAGGAGAGGGGACGCCAGACAATCCCCTCCTCTGCTTCCTTTCGCCCAGATGTCCTGAGCCCAGGGCGCCCCAGCCCGGCCCGGAACACTGACTGGAAGCCTCGAGCGCAGAGGTGCAGGCGTGCAAGGGACAGGGAAGGGCTGGAGGGTCGGGGGAGCGGGCTGTGCAGCGAGCGAGGCCCCAGGCAGGGTCCCGCGGGCGCAGAGAGCGTGGCAGGGAGCCGGCCCCTCCACCCGTTACCTTTCTCGAGCTCGCTGATGCGCTGGTGCAGCGAGGTCAGGGCGCTCTCAATCTTGATCCTCTCCTCGGTGTCGTTCTTGGGCCCTCCCTTGCCCTCCTCTAGGCTGTTCACCCGAGACAGCACCTGCCGCTCCAGGTCATCAATCTTGCTCTGCAGCAGATCCTTGAGGCTGTTGGTTTGGCTGGAGGAATTGAGCCGGCTGTACTGCTGCGGGCGCAAGGGCGGGGAGAGCACATCGTTACGCGCAGAGCGGGGACCGGGCCCGGAGGCCGGCGGCGC